AACACGACCGTCCAGACAATCGGACACCCTGAGACCAGAGAATTTCCGATATTAAAAACAAGAGAAATCTCAGATTAACCGGTACAATAAATCATTGATCACCCCAAATAGTCAACAATCACGACAAAGGACCATATACCACACTACTGGAAACAACTATCAACAACAGCCGATTGTAAAGGGTCTCAACATGTACGCGCTGCACAACACCATCTTACGCTCCACAAAGCCCCGTACCAGCACCAACCCGTTGGAGTACTATTTTTTCTGTCGCACGGATTTTGCGCCAGGGCGTCCGACCGTCGACAAAAACACACCGACGGGCACACCGTATCTAGAGATCGAGCTCAAGACCGGCCGGTAATACGAATCGTACACAGGCCACACGGGACCGGAGCCTGGCCAGCCGCCTAGCTCCCGCCAGTGACGGACAAGGCCACACCATGGCGCCGTCCGTGTTGACATTTACAGATTCGGCGAGACCGCACGAAAAAGAAGAAGGGCCGGGCTATCCTGAAGACCTTTGGCTCTTTCTCGTTCTTCTCTTTCCCTCCACTGTAACCCGTACTTTCCCTTGGCCTATACAAGGGAAAGTAGGGTGTCCCATAAGAGGCATCTGACCAAGGAACCCATCGAACCCCGAACCACGAGAAAACAAACACACGAGCGCACGGCTGAGCAGCGACCGAGCTCTCAGCACCCGTTCATTCTTCCCACCAGAGACTTGGGACCTGTCCCTCTCTCGCCCGTTTATAACCCCTACTACAAACTTTCGGTGCTAATAATATGAGCAGCAGCGACGAACTGGACGTAGGGACATTCTGCCCGAACCAGTATAAATTTCGTGTCCTCTAAGCACACCATTTGAGCCAGACACGCTATATTAGAAATTTACTTGTCGGTGGTAACTCGAATCACCGACAAATATCTACTTGACAATTTGGACAAAACGCAAGAAACTTGCGTGCTGGGCAATAATTCAGTAATCATCCAATCAGGGGAACCTGGACCAGGCACCACAAGCTGCAGGCCGGCGCCTGATGTGGTGGCGGATAAGAGACGAACGGCGCCGGAGGATACACATAGATACACTGATAGTCTTCACGGTAGCAGTATAGCAGATCGGCTAGCAGTAGAATATAAAAGGAGGAAGCAAAGTAGTAGTAGCAAAAGGCGGGCAAATGCGGTGCAGCAATCAGGATGAACAGCTGCTGCAAGCATGGGCGGCCGGGCGATCACGGCGGCTAGCTCACGGGCACTTGTTTGCTGGCGCGGTGGCGCCGCCTGGCAGGACGCGTCCGACACGGTGCACGCGTTCCGAGTCTTGCCCATGCCATGTCATGCACCAGCAAGCGTTCTCCAGCTCCACAAAATACACTAAACTACAGTGTCCATGCTGTGTCTGTCACTGTGTGCGTGATCTGTTTTTGAAACCATTCGATCCGTGCATGCATGCATGCCTGTGGACGGTGTATGTAATAGACTGTAAAGCATCGGACAATTGCCGGATATGAAGCAAACCAAAAGGACTGTGAAAGGGACCGTGACGTATAAGAGGGATGAATTAGGCAACTTAAAACTCTAACTCTAAACTATGACATATTTTTCTATCATTAACAAAAACATATGCACAAAATAAATTATCTAGATGTGCAACTACGGTTTAACAAGTGCGTTGCTATCTCTACCGCAAAAAGAAGTTATGCAACCTATGTTCCAAACCTATCAACTAAACTATCACTAAGCTAAGAAAATAAAGCACAAACCAATATTGCAATATAAATACGGAAGCTAAAGAGTAAAGTAGAGATATGCAAACTCCCGTCGACGACTCTGGTATTTTTACCGAAGTATCGAGAAGCGCTCAAGCTTCCCCCTAGTCTTCGTTGGAGCCCCTCGCAAGGGCCAAGCTCCTGGTCGGGTAACTCCGTGGATAGTCCCGGGCCATCCCCTCGCGCAAGTGGGTCTCCGGTGTGTTTTCCGGCAAGCCTCTCCTGGATCACTCCCCGCCGTCTTCACTATCAAGCTGCTTCCGGCCGACCACCGTGGGCTTTGTTCCCTTCGGTACACGGTGGCGGCCACACCACAAACGCAGTTGGTGTGATCTCGTAAGACTACAAGCCCCTTCGATGTACAACAATGGTGCGCGCAAGCATCGAATGGTAAGAGGTGTGCAAACCTCACTAAACACTAGGCCTAAACCTAGAACAAGTGCATAACCGGTGGTCTAATCAACCTAAGCACTTCGCAAAGCACTTACGCTAATCACCTAGTGAGTCACTAAGCACTATGCAAGTGGAGATCACTAAAATGGTGTATCAACACCCTTGGTATGTTTTCTCAACTCTCTACACTCAAATGGCCGGTGTGGAGGGGGTCTATTTATAAGTCCCATGGAGAAAGTAGCCGTTGGGGACGAAACCCAGCTTTCTGCTACTGACCGGACACTGTTGTCGTCCTGACCGGACTCGTCAGGTCGTCCCGACCGTTGAGCGCGCGCGTAAAGATCGGACGCACTGCCGAGTCCGGTCATGATCAACCAGACGCGCCCGGTTGCAATTGCGCCGCCCTGGAACCTCTCTGGGCATGATCGGACACTGCACTTTGTGTGTCCGGTCATCTAGTGCCGCTGCGTCCGGTTACTGCCTCGCTCAGCGTCTGGTCACTGCTGCTGACGCCTGCTGCTGCCAAGCAACTGATCGGACGCGTCGGGTCCTCATAGGGCCGCGTCCGGTCACCTCTGTGGAGCTCGTTTCTTCGTGATCTTGCGTCCGGCTTGGTACATATCTTTGTGCTTGGACTTTGCTTGATATCTTGGATCCTCTCTTGTGCTTCTAGAGTCTTGCTTAAGGTGTTGATCATCGGATCATCACGTCGCCTTCGTCCAAGTCACGTTTGCACCCTATTGAACTATAAAACAATTACTTGCAAATTTATTGATCTAATTTGGTTGCGTTGGTCATCAAATACTAGAATCCAAAGTAAATGGATCTAGTAAACAAATTTTAACAAAGTTTTCCAAAAGGTACGACGGTTAGCAATGACCAATTTGTGGACACATATCCATATTTAGGTTAGATGGCACACGAATAATAGAAAAAAATAATGAGGTCCAATCTTTATAAAAACTAGGCGTTTTTGTTAACATAAAGAAAATAGACATCTCAGTTTGAGTTGAAGAGGACTCAACTTTGATTATCGTTGGGGAAAACGTCCACACTTCTCAACGTAGCCAGTTTAGCTAAATGTTCGATAAGGCAACTACAAATTTCAGATAGGGATAAACCAGGATATATTATAGATGTATCTGCACAAATGTGGAGCTAGTTTCATTATTATTGTGGGAGCTATAAGCTATTTCAAATGGAGCCAAAATGCCAAATAATAGCAAATATTTGAACAAAGTGACCCGTTTTTAAAATGGCCAAGCAATTGATACATACGGAGCAGTTAACATGTCAAACAAAGTAGAAAAATACGGATACGGACAACCACATACATGGGACTGCAAATTCGATGTAGACTTTTAATATGAGTAGTCAACAGATGGTAACAAAGTTTTCAACAATTATTACAACATTTGAAAACGACCAATTTGTAGATATGTTAATTAACATTAATTTTTTTCGACTCATCAAGTCATAAATAAGTTACATTTTGAATATTGGCATAATCTAAAAACATCACTTATTAAACTCGTCGATAATATAGCTTTGACTGGTATTCTTTTATTGCAACGATTAGTCAATCCAGATTTTCAGTCTTCCAACAAAATATATGTATAGCCTTTAACGATGACCAATTTGTGAGCATACTGAGGCCCTGTTTGGTTGGGCTTTTGGTTGTGGCTTTTGCCCTTAAAAGCCATAAGCTCAACCAATGAACCTGAAAGTTGTAGGTGCTTTTGCACAAAAAACAGCCTTTTTCCTAGTACCCACCTTCTTCCCCACGGCAGGCTAGCCCCTCCATCTTCTTCTTCCCCGCGGTCAGCCACCGAGCGGCGTGGGCTTGCCCTCCCTCAGCTCGAACACCGGCGAGGCCCTGCCCTCCCTCCGTTCGAACATCGGCGGTGGTAATTCTCATGGCCGGGTGGCCGGAGCCTTCCCTCCTTCTGCTCTAACGCCGGCGAGATCCATCCCCTCCCTCTCTCCTCGTGGCCACTCGGTGGTGCTGGATGAGAGGGCGCGGCCCGAGCTCCGCCGCCGGCCACCCCAGTCCGCTCGGCCTGAGCTCTGCCGCCCCCATCACATGCTCACGCGCGAGCCACCGTGAGCGAGCGCCGCCGCGGGCGAGCACTGCCGCGTGCGAGCATCGCCGCGGTCTTTGCCGGGCTGCGTTGAGGTCCTGCTACTTCACGGCTTGGCCAACGAGAGGAAGAAGAAGTGTCAGACGAGTGAGGTCCGTTCGTAAGTGAGAGGGGGAGAGAGTTGAGTGGGGAGGGCTGGGGATTACATGTGGGGTCCGCTCAACACTTTCTCATAAGCCACAACTTCTAACCAAACGGTCTTCTACTTTTCCTACAGCTACTTTTCCACAACTACTTTTTCACAATTACTTTTCCAAAAGCCATAGCTCACGGCTACTTTTTCAATAGCCACAGTCCAACCAAACATGACATAATATTTAGGTTAGGTGGCAAACCAGTAATTAAGAAAAAAGAGAGACAACCCATCAAAGACTAGGTGATTTTTTATTACAACCAAAACAAAAATTTTGAGGCAGGAGAATTCGAACTCGGATGGTTAATAAGATACATGACAAAAGCTCCCACTGAGCTAAGCGGGTCAGGGGTCGCTATCATCAGCATCTCTAGCTAGGGCTAATTCATATTTGGGGGCCATGCTAAATCATGTTTTTTTTTCTTTGGACTAATTAATCAGACTAATTGTATTTATTTGGACTTGAAGGTGGACATGGTTTCTCTATAAAAGGAGCCCTAGCCCTGCCTGGTTCAGAGTGCAAGCCCCACAACACAAAGCAAACCGTAACTCCGACGAGCAATGGCAATGTTTCCCACAAGCTCGCTGTTAGCTTGCTGCTGCTCCCCACCACTCCCAAGGCGACTCTGCACTCCACGCCTGCAGCGCGGCCTCACCTCACCGTCGTCCTTCCTCTTCCTCCATGGCTCCGCACTTGCCATGCCGGCCTCCATGATCTTCCGCGGCCGCGCTCCGCCGCAGGCCATCATGTCCGTGGAAAGGGAGTTGCACATGGCAACCGGCGACGGAGAGAACAGCTACGCCGCCAATTCCATCTTCCAAGTTCGTGCTCAGAATAAAGCTTATGAGCTACTCCCCCCCTCCCACCCAAAAAATGTCGTCGTTGTCGCTTTTAGACACGTCAAATCTATTTAACTTTGCCTAAATATATATAAAAAATATTAATATTTATGGCACACAATTAGCATCATTAGATAAAATCTTTGAATATATTTTTATAATAAACTTATTTAGAGATATAAATGTTTTGATAAGAGCGAGTCTCATTGAATGTATTTCATCTACGATGAAACGCGCTGTGATGTTCTTGCGCAGAGGAAGACGGTAATGGAGACGTGGCCGGAGCTCCACAAGGCCGTCAGAGAGGCGCTCAAGTCGCTCTCCCCCGGGGCTGGGAGCACGATGGTCGCAGCTGACCTCGGATGCTCGTCGGGGCCGAACACGCTGCTCGTCGCCTCCGAGGTGATGAACACGATCGGCGCCCATGTCCAGGAAACGGCAGATAACTATAGAAGCCGCGCCATCATGGAGGTGCAGTTCTTTCTGAATGATCTGCCGGGCAACGACTTCAACCTTGTGTTCCGGTCGCTTGATTAGCACCAGCAGCGGCTCCAAGGCCTGGCCGCTGTGGAGGAGAAGCAGGCAGCGGTCCCTTGCTACATCGCCGGACTGCCTGGATCCATGTACACAAGGATTTTGCCCTGCCAGAGCGTCCATCTGTTCCACTCATCCCACTGCCTCATATGGCGTTCCAAGGTATATATGCATGTCTCAATTTTGCTTATAGTACATGCAACATATGCTCTGTTTTAAATTATATTTTTGAGAAAATATTGGTTAAAGATATGTATACAAGATCACCCATAATGTTGTCACATTTTTTTTAGCTAGAGCGAGTAGTAACACATACTCCCTCCTTTCCATTATAAGATATTTTGGAAATTATAAGACGTTTCGACTTTTCAAGATCAGTTGCTCTGTTCCTACGTACATCTAAGTGCATAACAAAAAGTATGTATCTAGAAAAGTCAAAACGTCAGATGATTTGTAATGGAGCGAGTATTAAAGGTAATGTATCTAGAAAAAAGCTAGAGTTTCTTATAATTGGGAACCGAGGGAGTACATAGAAAGAGCACAAAAACAAAATGATGTATACTCCTATAGCCTCTTCAATGCACAAACAACGAGTATATCTAAGTGTATAGCAAAATGTGTGTATATCTACAAAAGCCAAAACGTCTTATAATTTGGAATGAAGGGGTACTTAAGGTAATGTATGAAAAAGTCAAAATATCTTATAATTTGGAACCGAGGGAGTACATAGAAAGAGCACAAAAAACAAATATTGTACGCCCCTATAGCCCCTTCAATGCACAAACAACGGATTCCTATATATAAAGGCTGAAACTAACGGTATTTTTTTTTTCAAACTAATGATGGGTGCAAAATTTGTTTATGTACTTGGTGAATGCAAAATTAGAAATGGCGCCTATACTTTACACCACAAGGCATCATTAATATATATTGTTGTTCTTCTTATGCATGCATCGTGGCCGGTATCTGTAGATCCCTGAGGATCTCTCAAATGGAACACATGTGAATGCTGACAACATCTACATTGGGAAGACTACTCCAAAAGTTGTGGTAGACCTGTTCCGGGAACAATTTGAAAAGGACTTTGAATTATTTTTGTCACTATGGCACAAAGAACTTGTATCAGGTGGCTGTATGGTACTAACATTTGCTGGCCGGAGACGGGAAGAGATGCCAATGCAAGGGGGCGTGGCACGCGTTTGGGAAGTTCTTTCCCAAGCGCTCGAATACCTAGTCCCCAAGGTACATTTATTACACGTACAACGAGTTGAACACAAAAAATGAGTAATAAAAGATTATCAAAAATATCAATATCAATTGCATAGTTTATTAGTAGTAAACACTGCCAAATACCTAAATGACAGTTCTACTTTGGCACATCCGATCCAATAATCCATTAAATACATTAATGTAACCCTACACGGTACATGCTGGTTTGTAGGGCCTTGTGGAGAAGGAGAAACTAAGCTCCTTCAACATGCCATACTACGCACCATCACTAGATGAGGTGACACAATTGATAAAGCAAAATGATCTATTCGACATCGAAGACATCAGACTCTTTGAGTCAAACTGGGATGCCTACGATGACTCAGATGGCGATGTTGTTCTCAATTGTTCCAGTAGCGCAGAAAACATTGCCAAGATTATAAGGGCTGGTATTGAGCCACTGATCATGAATCATTTTGGTGAGGATATCCTTGAGGAACTATTCATGGTGTATGCCTCGATGCTTGCAAAGAACCTTGAGAAAGGGAAGGCCATGTGCCCTGTCATTGTGGTCATATTGAAGAAGTCCGAGGTTTGAAATTGGCCATTGAGCTCATCACTTTGCTGGTGTGCATCAAATAACTGATATGCCCTAGAGGATTGAGGAAATTATAAAGATATGATTGAGCTGTTTCTATGTATACATGCTTCAAAATTATGTATCATGCTACCTTTTCAAAAAATTATGTATCATGTTACAAGCCTTCATTCCAAAATTCAAGCTGTCTTAGCTCTAAGCTAAGTCACATTTTTCTAATTCTGGACTAAGTTTAAAGAATATGACTCATGTTATATATGTTTTCCTAATTCTAAAATTTTTCAACAAACAGTGGATAAGAAATCCCACACACTTAAACTTCTCGTAGGGTGCGGTGTGTTTTGTTTGAGGAATATATTTTTTGAAAAAAATATTTGTTAAGGATATGTATACAACATCATGCGCGCATAATAATGTGACAAAAAAATTTGGCTAGATGGAATACTAACATACATAGGAAGAGAACAAAAACAAAATATTGTGCACCTCTATAGCCCCGGCCTTCAATGCATAAGACTACAAGCAGCGAATCTATATCTTCTATAACTAAATAGGAGATTCCCACGAACCTGTTTTCCTGTGATCTTAGAAAGCCACGTCATCTGTATGGGCCCTACAGTTCTTCATCCCTTCATTAAACGCGAGAACAGAATGAAACGCCCTCAACCTCTTTTCCTTTTCATGCATGCGTTTCCCTCCTCCCCACCAATTCCTTCCCAGATTCCCATCCACGTCAATAGCTTTAGTGCACAAAAACTGAAGAATCGTTGTTGTCCATCCGTTTCGCTTCTGCACCCACGAAGAGGACTGTCCCACTGTATATATTAGAGGACCAGACACAATGGTGGAAGCCAAAGCAGGAAGAAGCATAATCCTCATGCGATGGTGGCTTCTGTCTCCACAACGCCTTCAACTTCGTCTTCCACCCGTACCTTACCTCCACTGGTAGAGAACCAAGCTTTACTCCCGGTGGGGAACCCCCTCTAGTCCCGGTTCCCCACCCGGGAGCAAGCATCCGGGACTAAAGGGGTCCTTTAGTCCCGGTCAGGAACCGGGACTAGTGAGGATTTTAGTCGGTGGGTAACACCAATCTGGGACTAAAGGTGCCTCCCGACATGCCACGATGGCGGCACCTTTAGTCCGGTTGGTAATCTGAACCAGGACTAAAGGGTTTTTTATTTTTCTTTTCTTTTCATTTTTTTTTCTTTTCAAAATAGGTTTTGAAGTCATATTGTACGCTGCTAATTATACATTTATACGCCGCATATAGTATGTTTGGTTCAAGCACAATGAACGTATTAAATCACACAATTCAAGCATAGAAATATATATATATATATATATATATATATATATATATATATATATGAATTCATGCATCATATATATATTAAATGCATGCATGCATATGTGTATTTTACATTATATTATTTCATGTGCATATATTACAAAAGATTGCATTACAGCTTGTTGTGACATAACAAGTTTCCTCTCATCCTCTAGCTTGGCTTCAATGGCAAGTGTTGGGTCAAGTAGAACTCGCCCTTGGAATCGATGACCTGCTCATTAAAAAAATCCGCTATAGACTCTTGAATTGCTTTGATTTGGTCTTGCCGTATGACCTTTTCCTCCAACCATCGAGTCTAGGTGTTTGAATTAAAGGAAAATAAATTAATATATGTACATATATATATATAAAGACATAGTAACACAATCAATAATAATAATTAAATGAATATATAGTGTATTTTTAACGTACTTTGAGTCTCTCTGTAGGAGTTCTTTGGGAGAGCACCTTGATAAACTTGCAAACATAGTAAGTAACCACGTAGTTGTTCTCCTGTTCTCGCTTTTAGACACCACTTTACGAGAAAAGATTTGTCATCCAATCTGGTGATCCGATGAAAGCTATATGTTTAATTAATAAAGATGATGCGATTCGTGGACTTACTTTCAAAGGATTACATTCAGTGGCGCTTTGCATTTTTTCATGTGTTGCTTCTCAATAAAGGTTTTCCAAACACCGCCCAATAAAAAATTTGCCACGTCATCGATATAGTTAATCATCATGTTTGTGTGTATATATAGTTGCTAGAGATCCGAAATTACCCGGATAATATCTATCATATCTTGGTAGTCTTGTTGTGGTTTTCTCATCGAGTTATAGATTATCAAGTGACTTTTCACCAGATCGATGTCCATCAATATCCAGTGATTGCTGCATGTGTTTATAGGATATAACGCATAACACTCATTAATTAACTAGAATCAACATATGAGCCATTAAGGATATGATCGACATGATTAACACTCACTTGAAGTTATAGGGAAAGAGTATATCCTTCTTGTGGCGTTGGTTCACTAAGAAGTTCATGAGGTTACTCTCTGACTCAGACTTCCAATTAGTCTTTGGAGTAATTGGGTCTTTGAATACTATATGGGGATCAACAAAACCAATTTCATTGCAGCCTTCCTTTCTGAGCCCTGTCATTGTAAATCTGCATATATATAGTACTTGTTAGGATAATTTATATGCATATACACACATATGATGAGTTTAATAATAGATCTAAAGAATTATTACTTACAGGCAATAGCAGCTAATGATAACTTTGTCCAGAGAGGTCAGGTGGCATAGTTGATGAAATTCTGCAAAGTCAACATACATAACATCATCGCCACGGAACCAATGTTCGTCTCTAATTTTGACACCAACGCAGAAGTCTCCACTGGTAGACGCCTGCATGTACCACTTGTTTAGCAGGTACATTTGCGTCCCCAGATCAGATAAGGCTTGAGGGTTGTATAGACTCTGGCCTAGTACAAATTTTTTTTTCCAAATATCAACCTCCGCCGCACTCTCAATGTTTCCATCACCAAACATCTAATAAAGGTCGAGACCAGTCTCATCAAGAAATTCACCAAGGTGATCCAAATCGACATTCGGAGGTATGTTTGCCTGATGCATTAATCCTGCATTAACTCACATTGCGATCCGGACACTTGTAGAAGATACGATCCCTGTTGGGACCCTCCTTCTTCACTCGGTACTCCATCACAATCTTCGTCTCATCACGACACTTGCCGCATGGAATGAGAGGAAGGCCCGGCCTAAGTCGCTTTGGAAACCCATGAGAGGCCGAGGATCCGGAAGCAGTTGCCATTTACTCTCTATACTCATTTTTTAATACACTATAAATTTCTCCTTTTATAAACAAATAAAATTAACAAACTATAAAATTATCTAGATCTCTAAACAATGATATTTTTAATGGTCATTGTGTTCTCGTCTTTTACTGCGGCAGGTAAGTAATTCACATGATATTTCCGCAAATTAATGTAAGAATGGGAGTGTACACACATAATGTATCATCGCGACGATATCGGGACGTGTGAATAAATAACCATCCAGTATTTAGTTGACCTTGCTTACGTGATCATCTCGCGAGCATTTCTCCACCGGACGGCACATATACTTGGCTACGGAAGAGCTCCAATTCTATGAGGAAGGGAACACGGTCTTCCACGACCGCTGCCGCTCTCCCTCGAGAATCAAAGCTCCTCCATGACGTCCGTTATCGCTTTCGGCAGTAGAACGTGTTTCGCCGAGATGAACACAGTCCGCAAGTTCAACTAGTATGGATTTTCTATAATTTTCTAACTATTTTCTAAGTTTATATTTATATATATACTACGTTTGGGTACGGTGATTGATGTATCATCGCGACGATATCGGGACATGTGAATAAATAACCATTCAGATTAGTTGACCTTGCTTACGTGATCATCTCGGCGAGCAGCATTTCTCCACCGGACGGCACCGTGACTTGGCCACGGAAGAGCTCCAATTCTACGAGGAAGGAACACGGTCTTCCACGACCGCTGCCGCTCTCCTCAGAGAATCAAAGCTCCTCCTTGACGTCCGTTATCGCTCGGCAGAGAACGTGTTTCGCCGAGATGAACACGGTCCGCAAGTTCAACTAACTACTTTAACCTTATTTCATGTAAATATGCAAGCTTGAAGTGATTTTGAGCTCAAATTGCTTACAAATAAAAAAAACCACAATAAAGAACCATATATATATATATATATATAGTGAACAAAATAAGATAAGACAACGGTGAAAAATGAGAGTATGAGATTGGTAACCTTTACAACTGAAGAATCGACGGAGGAATCGAAGAAATCGACGGAGGAATCGAATAATGGATGGAGGAACAATGGAGGGAGGGAGGAAGCAAGAACACTAGTGCAGTGAGCTTCAAAATGTGCTGAGCTCGGACTCGAGGAGGAAGAAGGAGACGGCCGGGATATAAAGGGGATTTTAGTCCCAGCTTGGTGGCTCCAACCGGGACTAAAAGTAACTTTCCAACCCCGGACGCAGCCACGGCCCGGGAGTAGATTCTTTACTCCCGGTTAGAGCCACCAACCGAGTAAAAGTATACCTTTAGTCCGGTTGGTGGCTCCAACCGACTAAAGGTCTCGCCACCTCTCTCGGGCGCAAGAGTAGCCGTTGGGGCAGGGACCTTTAGTCCCGATTGAAGACACCAACTGGGACTAAAGGTATTTCTAGTCCCGGGCGCAAAAACTTCCGGGGCTAGAGCCCATTTTGACCGAGGATCAAAGATATGTTCTCTACTAGTGCTCCCTCGACGCACGAACCAGCACCACCGTCGTCTCCGATCCCGAGCATCGCATCATGCTCAAGCACGACTACATCGTCACCGCCGCCCAATTGGAGGCCTCAGCAGCGGATGTGCAGCAAGACCAACGTAAGGTGAAGATCCCTCTCGCGGCTATGGTAGATGACGATATGGCCATCGCGACGGTGGCAGCACAAGCTCCTCGGCGGCGCTCGTTGATTTAGACCGGCTCTAGCTAGGCCTGCGTGGCGTCTTCCAATGTGAGGATCCTATGCTGTCATCGTCAATCCGCCATTGAACTGGAGGTTAATAGTACGTACTAAGCCTGTCACGTCAGGTAGCAAGTCTGGTGGAGT